TTTTTAAATTTTTACGAAATCAATTTTATTATTTATCAATGAAATATTCCACACTAATCACTTGTTATTAAATTTATAGTAAATTAACTTAATTATTTTTAGAAAATTAATAATAAATATAATTATTGAATTAGTCATAAATTAACAAAAAGTAATTATATAATAATAATAGTCAAAGAGATAATAATTAACTATAACAGTTAATGGCGCAAATTAATATATTCTATTTTTTGTCATCTTGAGACTAATATAATTGCATTGATTGAAGCCTGTTAAAAATCAAATCTAACATTATCAAGTTAATTAATTAATTATACAAAATCATAGAAGAGAAATAGTTTCAATTATTTGTAGTTATTTAAAAGAAATAATGTATTTGTAATTTGATTTTATTTAATTAATTTTTATGGAGATTTTATTCAATTTATATTGAGTACATATCTTATTGTAGAAGTTTTAAAGTAGGACAAACTATAAAATTGCCTTTGTAGGCAACAAGTTGGTAAAAAAATGTATCTTGTAAGGCAATCTATCACTAGAGGTATCTCTGAGTGTATTCAGGCTGAAAGTTAAGTTGAAGAAGTCAACACATACTGCTACTTTGACAATGATATAGCAATATCTGTGATTATGATCTCAACGCGAAAAGTGCACATGCATCGAGAGTAATATATGAGTTGTTTACTCCTTTTCCACGAATGAAACAAACATTATAAATCTAAAAAAATACACGTAATTTTATATTTATTTTCATTTTATAGTTATACCTAGGTAGACGATGTTTTTTCATTGGAAATTAAAGAAGTTCTTTTTGACGTTTTAATTTTTTAGTGAAATCTAAAATCAATTTTAGTCCCATATTTTATAATGTTATTTCATTTTGTATGTAAGTAGACTGTTTATTTAATAAAAAATTTCTTTGTTCGAAAAAAAGCTTTTTATTTTCCTTACGAAGGAACGTATTCTGGCTTTATTTATTCTCTGAAAACGAACTTTCACATCTCATTCGTTAATCGAGCTATGACTTATTCAATTTAATTAGATATTTAAAAAAAAGTTCAAGTTATATCAATACAATTTAATGAAAAGAAAAAATAAATAAATGTATAAAACCAACAGTTGGAAATATAAAATGAAATTACTCATTCCTTTAGTATTATTAAAAAGGGCAACTTTGTTGAAACGGTTTACGTCTTGCGAAACTCGCAGCATCTACTTCTCGTAATTCCGCTGTAAACGCGGATGGACGTGGTTTTACGTCTCTTGTAATTTAAATAACTTCGAATCTAATTTCATCCAATCTAAGGTCTGCGCAAAGTTCAACGTTCCTACAACAACTGTTTGCACTCAAACTGATCTCACTTAAAACGCGTTTTATTTGATTATTTTTTAGAATTTTATGACATTTCTATAATAAAATAAAAGAATAACTGTTCCACTCGAAAATATTTAACAATAATTACCCAATTATATGTATAGAAATACCTCACATAGTGCGGGTATTAGGTTAAGCTAATATCCCAACCTATTTAAAACCAAAATAACTGAGGAACTAAAATATACAATTTGACAAAAGAAAAAAAAGGTTAATTTTGTAATTTCTGTGAATTTAATTTTATTTTGTATAATTAAAATTTAGTTTGTTTTGAAATTTTTAAACCGGATTTTAGTATATCTGGACTTAATATAACCTTACTATACGAACTCTATTACTGTATTTAGTTTCTGGATTAGTCCGGCTTTAAACAATTACCCGAACTATACGAGGTATTGTCAACCATTTTCAACTTTACGTGGTATTGTGAATATATTAAAATAAACTAAAATAATATTTGATTTATTCAAACAATAATCTCCTAACTATATACACCTTATTATAATTCGTGTGCGTTTCTGAAGATATTAGAATTTGTTTACTCTAGCAAAAGGGAACGATTGTCGTGTGACCTAAAGTATCGATGTATATCTGTCATATTATATAACTCGCACACGCAATTTCAGATAATTTATGAGTGCATGCTATCCGAAATAAGTAAATAATTAAAAATTATTAATTTTGAGAAATACAGCTTGGATTTTTTTACCAATACCAATTTCTGTAATTTATTGAAATTTTATTGAAACGATGGTTGAAACGAAGCCATATAATTAAGAAATTAATTAATTAATTTCGTTGATTTTTTTCTGAGATATCGACTGTGTTAATTTTTCAAGTCAAAATCATTACTTCTTGTTTAATTCGTGATAACATGACATTTTTCCCAAATTAAAAAATTCCTATAATTGTAATAATGTGACAATAATCATACATTCTGTACTAATTTAAATATATTAAAATTTTAATTTATTGTTAAATATAAAAGAAAGTTAATTATAGTTCAATTTTATATTTAGTGTATATAGTGTCCTAGTAAGAGCACCAAATTTAAATTTGAGAACTAAAATTTATTAATTATCTATTAATTATTCGAATATTTACAATCTAAAATAAGCAAGATAAGAAAGAAACTTGTAAATTTTAGGTGAATTAAATTTCATAATAAATGTTGAATTAATTGTGCAAAATGTCTATTAATAAAAAAAGTTATAAAATTTCTTTATAGTAATTACAAACTAAATTTTCCACTTTATTTTTATATTAAAGGCTCAGTGCAGATTCTATTAAAATATTGCTGCGTAAGTTATTAAAAAAGCTTCTTGTCACAGTGAAATATAGCAGAAATCCGACATTACATTTCCGTCTTTTTTTTTATGTGTTGTGTTTTTAATAATACCATGCCATAAGAAATTGAATTTACATATTCATAAAGGCTATAGGATGGAGCGAGTTTCAAACGCGCAACACGTGGCAATGTAATAGCTGTACAAGCTATTAACTAACCAGGCGCATCCCCCGCACAGTTTCAGTTACAGACACACAGCATGTCGTCTACAAAATCAGATAGACTCGTCTGGCAAATAGAAGCTCAAACAATTTATAAATCGCTTGAGAAAATAAAAGAGAAATAGTATGCAAATCGTTCGATCAAGATAAAATTCCGTTGGCATAATTTACTTTTAACACGGTTTTTCAATTTCCACATCATACATCGACTGGTTTGCAATCCAGATAAAATGCTGACATTTTCACTTTATGTATATCCGAATATTAAGGGGAACGCAGGAAATGGTTTTAAATTTGTAGTGAAAAAATAAATAAAATGAAAATAATATTTTTTTTCTTACGTTACCACTAGAAGGAACTAGGTTAATGGGAATCTGCGGGGTCCGGAAGATAACAATCGGGCCAAAATATTTTGTACGGAAACGCGAATTCATTGTGTGTTCGCATTAATCAACGAGAACTGGGGGAGCTATGCAACACTTTTGAATCGAAATTTACATTGAGAACGATTTATTTATATGTATATTCTTTTGGTTTGGTTTTCTAAATGGTGGTGAAGAAGAAAAACAAATGAAGAGAGGGTGGTGGCGGCTTACGTGAACGTGACGTTGTTTGTGGCGGTGAGGGAATTGAGTTGGAGGTTCCAAGGGTTGGTGGTCCAATTTAATGCGAACGGGGGGAACGTTCCAGCTCCAAATTGACTCTTGTAGATTGGTGGACCGCATCCTTGTGCCGGACCGAACCCGCTGAACGTTCCCCAAAGACTGCCATCGTCCAGGCTCGATGACACCATAAATTCACCACCTTTGAACGGTTCGTTCTCGCCATTTCGCTCGATGGTCACTGTAACAAATAAAACACATTATAAGTATATCAATTTAAATGTGAACACACCTTGCTATGATAAGATGATTGACTTTGTAATGGTGAAAGATAATTTCATTCAAGATGTGAACAATGTGTGGATAAGTTATTAAATATTACCAATATTATTAACACAGTTACTGTGACACTTATGACCTTTTTAGGTTATTATATATACAATAAAATTTGATAACAAAACCTTGGTATTGACAGGTTTACATTATGAAAGTTGAATATCACAAGATTTACAGGCATTATTTGTTTTTTTGATGACATTGAATAATGTTATTCTAAATAAATCCTATTTTTAACCATATTTATTGGACATATACACATCAAAATTCGCGTACGTATCTTATCTAATGATATACACAAATACAACAATACCTCGCATACCGGCACTGTGACAATAAACTGGACTGTTTGAAGCCGGACTAATCGAGGACTTTAAAACCGAAGAAGAAAAATGAATCGCTTATGTATAAAAAATAATTTTGTAGAATTAATTTTGTAAAATTTTGTTTTGAAATTTTCACCGTACCCTAGTGAATCCGCACTGATCGAATGGATTATATATTATTCTAGTTTCTTTTAATATCTTTTTAATTTCCACATGAAATACAAAAAGATATACAACGATAACTCGAATAGTGTAGGTTTCACCTATATTCCGGACTAATTTTGTGTACACATTTTATTAATTGTAGTCCTTAAGGATAGAGGTAATAAATGAAAGTTTGATTCATCTTAAGCTCAGTATTCAAAAATTCTATTCTCAAAATGTTGTTTACTTGGTAAGTTTCTTGACTAATGGAAATATCAATAACTTTATAAATTACTTCATCACTTCCCAAAAATATTGAAATAAGTAAAGAGCAAATGATTTTGATGTATTATTATGCGGAGAATTGGTTATTATAAAGAGTCCTTTCATAATTCAATAAATAACTAAGTTGTAAATATTATAATCTACAGTCAAGTTATAAATTTTACTTCACATACCTTAATGGAAGAATAATTAATTACTAATTAGTCCTTTTAAAGCTAACAACCAAAGCCTTTGTGCAATATATTAAATATAAACTCTTATTTTTTATCCAATATACAATTACTTTTTTTATTCTTAAAAAGCAGCAGCAACAAAATAACAAGAAAATACTTTGTATTATATCACAATATTGTACTTCTGAAATACATTTTATTTCTTATTCAACAATGATAATGACGAGGAAGATTTTCCTTTTAAGAAAGTTTTAATTGGCTCTGACCCTTCCATCAATTTATCATACTTAGTTCATTCAAGCTTAAGTGAACAGAAGCATTCTTCCACATCAGCGTCAAAATTATAAACTTTGTACAATTCATAATCCAGAAATGTATGTTAATTTACTTCATTTATTCAATAATTTACATTTTTTTTTTCAATTATAAAATATTTGTAAATGTATTTAAACATATCTATAGAAAAATGTAATATTATGTTATTTATTTCTAAATTATTACTAACTAAATTAGTTTTTCACTAGATTTAATGTGGACGTTAACTCAATTACTAAAGACTTTTTAGTTTTTTATGGACTTTACTATTTAATAATATTTTTATTATAAATAATTCTAAAATTCTAATAGATTTATTTAATGTATCTATTTATAAACAAAATACTATAACGCGTTAATGTTATGTGAATAGAGCATTTTTGAGATGCCAATATTACTCGAACTACAGTCTATTGTCTACACTAGACATCTGTATTGAAGTCAACATGTCTCATTCCGCCTTTGAGGAAGTCGCATTCACGTTGAAATCGTATATTATTACAGCTTTTTTTGTTCGTTATTACATTTCCCTCGACGTCAAAAGCAACGTTCAATTGAAAACGGGTTTATTGGTTGAAACGCATTCCTTTGTCCAGTTTCACGGCTCATTTACAAATGCACGTCGGGATCGATTAAAAAGTTAATGAAATAATCGCGATTCGCGCCTGCCGATGTGCATCATCATTGATTTTCCCACCAAAAACCGGATCATTCGAAATGCAAAACTAACAGTGAAAACACGAAAATGCATTTGTAGTTAAAACGAAATAAAATTATCCTTGACACATTTCATGTGTAATTTAGCCTGCAGTGCGTGGCAAAAGAAAAATTAGTGAATAAATACGACAGGTGGAAATTATGTCGGAGATGATGAAGGGATAAAGTTCAGTTTTCCAAAATGAGTCGGAAAAAATATATATGAAGAAGTGGAAATTAAGTATGGGAGGCACGCGACAATACCATTTATTGGTGCCACTCACGTGGTATTAATTTCATTCCTGAACTGAAAGGTCCGAAATTACGTGAACTCGCAGCTAATGTATCGCACGAAAAGAATGGAACAGAAGAAACGGACGTTGAGTGAATAAATATTAATTGTTCGTTTGGTTTGGTTTGGTTTGGTGTGTAGTTTCGTCGAATACCGTTGCGGGCTTTGTTTAACTCTAACAATTACTTTGCAAGCACTTTGCAAATTGGATTGCGAAGCTTCCGGATGTGCGAAACTGGCGTAGTTCCGAAAGCAATTGTTGTATGTACCATCCTGCAAATTGATTTTAAAACGTGAATGTCCTTTGGTCCGAATTTGAGGTGATTGTAAATACATTGCAGGACCTCAGATCAAACAGCTAAAGTTGGACAATTGCAATTCGGGCTGTGAGTAAACTTTTGTGAAATGAAACTGGAATTGAAGTCAAACTACTATTGGAAAACAAACAAATGTGTTATTTATACCTGATTGAATTTCACTTTTGTTATAACATAATAAATATTCACATTAAAATTAATTTAATTTTAAATGAAATAACAATTTTTCATAAATATTTTTTAAACCTTTATATAACTTAATCTGTCCATTATCTAAAGATAGCATTTAGAGAAACATACATTATATTTTTTTTGTATGTCGTATAATTTTATTCACAATCTGTTCATCAATGTGAACATTGAGTAAATTTAAGATCGCGGTTGGCAATAAATGGATAATCTTTCCCGGTGGAAGGTTACCATTATGATGATTTGAACATTAATAATTACTTAAATCTATATACTAAATTTAGTGGTTTGCAGCCTGTTTGTGGCTATTGTATCCTCGACCATATCTATATGAAGATCTTCGTGTATTTGTTTATTCCTGATGAACCATGTCGATTTACCGGCCGCACCCCAACTATATACTAATTGTTGAATATTATAATCATTGGCAAATTTAAAGATTAGTAGAAAATATGTATGATAAAGTTCTAAGAGGAATTAAATATTATCAATGTGTAGAGTAAAAATAATAACATTACTTTGGCACAGATTATGTTCAATAAATATGTTTAAATCAAAACAGGATATTATTTAGTATTTGACAATATATTAAACTTACACTAAACTTTAAAATAATTATGCGAGTGTATAGAACCACCACACATAGTCCGGTTTAGAAATTTAAAAACAATCAAATTTTCTTTGTCTTTGTTGATAAGGTTTTCACTGAAAAACTATAATCTTCTACATTCAATAAAATTCTAACATCATCTGCATCGTCTTTTTCAAAATCTATTGATTGTACCAATAAATTCGTTTCTAATTTCTTGGATGTTGTTTTCTTCTCCTAGTACAACTTTTGGCCACACTTTACACTAAAATCCATTTAAGAATTTCTTAGTTACTTCTTGCGAACTTCGTTATATCAAAGCATCGTTATCAAAGGTAACGTTACTCAAGGTATGTATGTATACATTCCAAAATAATACATGACATTTATCTCGGAATGTGTACTAATTAATAAAAAATAAATTAGATTTATTATATTTGCTATAGCATTTTAATGATATCCTGGACTCATTCAACACGAATATTCTGTTATTTTTTTTATCTTCTGTTGCACCGATTGTTGTTTGCATTTTCAAATCATTATCGGATTTAACTACGAATTTTCGTTTCCATCAGTTGCATACTTTTTCCTTTTATTTTGCGTTAATGAAAAAAATAACGGATGCTGGCAAAGCCGGAACATTCACGTTTATTCTGATTTAATAAACATTCGTGCAGCAATCCCCAATTAAAATCTATGTATATTTTATATAATTTTATTATTTTTACATGAATATACTTTTGCATTGACACAGGATCAATATTCACACAATATTATAATAAAACTTTATTAAATTTTCCACCACTTGTTAGCACATAGGTCAATGCACAATTTATAAGATTTGTTATAACAATATTCATAACAGTTTTTATTATTGTTATGAAATTTTTGTTAAATTACAAATATTTGATCTTTTTTCCTTGTTTTCTTCATATGAATTTCCCTTCGCATATTTTTTGTTAGTTAGTTTAACTTTAGAATAAATTACTGTAATATTTTATGTACTTAATACATGATAATACAATACATGAAAATAAATAAAAAATCTAAAAATATTTTTATTCTCTTTATAGAAAACAATTTTTTAGAGTAATTATTTATGAACATACACATTCACCCAACATTTACAAATACAAATCTGTATAATTCTAAAGTTTGTATTCAGAAAACTATAGTCCTGAAGTAATTCATTTAATTTTATGTACAGAACTCTCATATACTTTAATTAAATCGAATAAAATAAATCTTATCGATTTTGCAGAATTTGCCTTTCCCGAAGAGTCCTTTTTCTGCGTGCGCGTGTGTGCTGGGATTGAAGAAAAGAAGAGAGTATTTTTCACTATTCCTAACAGGCTTTTCCCTCCTCATCTCCCAATTTATTACCATTCAATACAATTCCCTTTCGGTCCGTTTCCCTTTGCCTGATCCTTGAAAACGGCTAACGCAGATTATTTTTACTACCTTCTTGCTTTCTCTACTCTCCCTATATTTTTGTTGTTGTTGTTACCACTGCAACCCCCTTTTTTCACAATCTATCCACTTTACTTTAATTTCTTTAGGGTTAAATGCGTCTGGTAAA